GGTATCTATCCAGGAGTGGAATTGCTGAATTGTATGATAATTCTATGCTTAATTTCTCGAAGAACTGCCATACCGTTTTCCACAGCAGCTGCGCCACCAATGAGCAAAGGTTCCAGTGTCTCCACATTGTCACTAGTGCTTGTTTTCTGGTTTGTTTTGTTTGTAACAGCCATCCTAGTGGGTAATGGAATGGTATCTCATTGTGGCTTAGAGTTGCAGTTCCCTAATGGTTAGTGATGTTGAGCTTATTTTCATGTGTGTATTGGTCATTCCAGAAGTTCTCTTTATTCTGTTTTATAAACATGTCTGTTCACAATAGACTGGAAATGAAACAGACAAACAAACCGGGGCTTCAGCAAGAGATTGCAAGAAAGGCAGTGATCGCCGAGCACTATGCATGTCAAGGATGAGCAGAAGGCTGGATCATTTGGGGATGAGGCTGAGGGGAGACGCACTGACTAGTGCTGTTTATAAGCAGTCAGTTCTGCCCCATAAAGGGATCCAAGGGAGGGCCTGCTATTTATGACACCAGCCAGCCCAGGCCAACACGGGTGCAGCTGTCATACCCCTTTGCAGCTACATTTACACGTTAGAAGTTAGAGTTTCCCACGTGGTCTGAAAGTGCAGCTGGTGACCTTTCACCAAATGCCAAAGTTCTTTCAGGGTGCACAACAGCGTGAAAACTTCTAGAGTAGCTGTGGAAAAAGCCCCAGAGGAAGGGAGAGCACATCCGTTTCATACTGATACACTGGTGGCCACAAGCTATCCGTGGCCTTGCTGTGCTTAGTGAGAAATCCTCGCAGGCCTGAATCTGAGTAGTCAGGACAAATGGACCCTCTGAATGTTTAAGGCAGTCTTAGGGCAGTTCGTAGGGCAGGGCCCTCCGCTGAAGGATTGGATGGAGACCATGACTCTAGACTGTTAACTGAAGAACCATTCTTAGCAAACCTCTGATAAGATGCTTTCCATACACTCTCACATAAATCTCAACGTACGTTTTTTTCCTGAAATCTCAGCATTCCTGCTTGTAGCATGGCAGGTATCTTTGGGGTATCCTCTCAGTCTATGATCTCCATCTTGAAGAAGAGTGTGCCCTGCCCATAAGAGATTTGAAAACCCTAGGTCACCTTTTGTCTTTATCTGATCCAGGTCTCTGACTACAGCTGATTGGACCAGGGGGAGACACTTGATACAAGCTAAGCCAATTAGATTTTTTTCTCCTGGGAACTCGGTATGAGACACAGAGACACAGTGGAATGGATGATAATGCTGGGATTTGGATGTGTCCTTGGGTCTAGGTAAACAATAGGTACTGGATTTCATGAGCTCCCCCTTAATCTTTCCAACACATGATAGAGCCAGAATAAGTGGGTTTCTCTTATAGTGAAAATGGCCTTGTCCACAACCATAGTCATTAGAATTAATATTTTGCAGGTGAAGAAACCGAGGCTCAGATAAATTTTTTTTAAACGTTTCCAAGCTTGGCCGGGCTCAGTGGCTCAGCCTGTAATCCCAGCACTTTGGGAGGGTGAGGCAAGTGGATTGCCTGAGCCCGCCAGTTCGAGACCAGCCAGGACAACTTGGTGAGACCTCGTCTCTACAATAAAATAAAAAATAACCAGGCATGGTAGCACACGTCTGTAGTTCCAGGCTACTCAGAAGGCTGAGGTGGAAGGATCGCTGGAGCCCAGAAGGTGGGATGGCCATGAGCACGCATGCCACCGCACTGCAGCCAGGGTGAAGGAGTGATACTCCAACTCAAAAAAAAAAAAAAGTTCCAAGCTCAGTCTAACTTAGTACGGATAGTCAAGGTTATGCAGCAGTAGCAAACAAGCGCCAAATCCCAGTGACTTTGTACAGGATAGGTTTATTTCTCCTTCCCATCCCAAGATGATATAGACTGTGAAGTGTCTCAGACCCCCAGGCTCCCACCATGCTGTGACCCCATCATTAAAGTACACGGCAGCTGGGCTCGGTGGCTCAGCCTGTAATCCTGCGCCTTTGGGAGGCTGAGGTGAGTGGATTGCCTGAGTCCGCGGGTTCGAGACCCGCCTGGGTAACTTGGCAAGACCTCATCTCTACAATAAGTCAAAAATTAGTCGGGCGTGGTAGCGCGTGCCTGTAGTTCCAGGTACTTGGAAGGCTGAGGCAGAAGATCACCAGAGCCCAGCAGGTCGAGGCTGCGGTGGCCAGGAGCGGCCACTGCACTCCAGTCTGGGTGACAGAGTGAGAATCCAAGTCAAAAAAAAAAAATACACGACTTTAGAGGTGGCACAGAAGGGAAGAGAGAGAATAAAGGATTCTGCAAGGGGTGGGGGTAAACCTAGAAATCATAGACATTATTTCTACCACCCACCCACTGACCAAAACCCGTGGCCCCTCACCTAAATGTAAGATAGGCTGGGAGACATAGCCTTCTTGTGAGTCCAGAAGAGAGATAGGTGTGGTGAGGATTGTCTGGTCTCCACCAGGCTCACACAGCTCGGAAGTGGCAGAGGCGGGCCCTGAGCTCAAGCAACCATGATTCCAGTGTAAGGCCTCCAGTCAACTCTGGTGCCAGCTACCTTCTCTGCAGCTCACCAGGGCTCCCAGCACCAGGGCCACTCTCCACTCACCACCTTCTCCGCCCACCATGCCCAGCTGTGGATGCCCCGGGAGCAGCTGCGTCTCATAGCAGTACTCCAGTACTTAGAGAAACCAAGGGTAGCATCTCCATGAAAGGGCGGGGCCATCTTGAGTTTAATCCTTCAAGTCCCCTGGCTCATGCAGTCATCAGCTACTGGCATCCCCTATCTGATGAGGACAGCCTTGTGAAGGAAGGGTTACTCTCTGGCCTCTGCTCCATGTGAGACATGAGTTAGATCCTTAAGGTACACAATTAGCAAACGTTTCCTAGATCTGCCACCATAAAGGACCACTCACTGGGTACTCAAACAGCAGAAATGTATTCCCTCACAGTTTTGGAGGCCAGAAGTCCAAAATCAAGTTTCCAGGAAGGCTGCACGCCCGCTGGAGGCGCTAGGGAAGAGTCCTTCCTGACCTCCTCTGGCTCCCTGAGGCATTCCTTGGTTTCCTGTGGCGGCATCACTTCCATCTCTGCCCTCACCTTCACGTGGCCTTCTGCTCTGTGTGTCTCCTTAAAGGACATGTCGTTGGATTTAGAACCCACCCTAATCTAGCGCATCTGAGTTGATACCATCTTAATCCTTAATTTAAATCCACCAGCAAAGACCTTTGTTCCAAATCAGGTCACAACCACAGGTACCAGGGATTTGGATATGAACTTGACTATTGCGGGGGACACCATTTACCGCACTACACGCATCTTGAAAGTATTCCCCCTTCTGGATGAGGGGAGCAGATCACAGCTACTCTGGGGCTTTAGATACCAAGGATGCTCAAATGAAGTTCCGCCCCCATCCCGGTCACAGGTGTCCCTTCAAATGCTCAGTGGAACGGGCTGTGTCTAGCCTACTGGTGGTGGCAAGGCCAGGGCAGAAATGCGTTTCCAGTCAGACTGGAAGGATGCTTTCTTAGCTTTCGGCAGAGGGCACCAAGAAGCTTGGCCATTGTGGAGAAGCCCTCTGCTGATTTGCTTAAAAGACTTAGAATTTGGTTTTAAGGCCAAGTACGGTGGTCTTAACTTAGAAGGCAAAGGGCATATCTATGGAGCCCCTACAAACAAATATCAGATCTGTGGGTAGGAAAGGGGAGGTGAAAAGAGGGAACCCTAGAAATTCGGGATATCACATGGCCATTTTGAATCAGCACAACCGTTTTGCTTGGGTCTCACCCTTGACATTCCCTTGGTACACAGCTTGCATGGCCCCCACGTCCTTTTACCCTATAATCATTAACGAGAAAAATGCTTTAGTTTTAGAAACCAGTGATTACACAGAACCCCTTAAGCAATGTTCAGTCTTGCTAACAATTTATCTTTTAGGCATTCGTATTGATCCATTGTTATTGGTCGCCTGGGACGACCTCCAGCATACCACCGGAAGGCGTTTATTGGTATAATATTATCATACGAACACGACAATCTCCAACTTATCACCTGAGATCGTGAGACGCTGATGCCTGGCGATGTCAAGGTACTAGATTCACGTGTCTACTATGGAAACCAAAGAATATGACTCTGGACATTCCTTTTGGCCCAGACCGCCTCCAGGTGTAAACCCTTCTTGCTTTAAAGGCCCTTAAATACACCTAGTTTCCAGCCTTCCAGCCTTCCACTCACCTGAGTGCCAGCCCCTTTTCCATCTGTGAAAAGTGAATAATAAACTTTACTTCCTTCTTCTTTCCTCTCTGTTGCAATCTTGCGTTATTCCCACAGCACCTTGCCTCAGTTTACCCTTTCGGGAGGCATGGAGCCTCTTTACATATCCCGCCCATGCTGTTGTGAGGAACTCAACAGAAAATCCCTTGTAGCCAAACATTTGCCTGGTTAGGGGCTGTTTTCTTTTGATTGGGAGTAGAAAGGTCTCCCATCTTAAGAGCGATGTGACAACCTAGAGCCCAGGCTCCTGCCACATCTCTTTGTGACACTCAGGAGAGGCGATCTTCTTCACCCTCATCTGTCCAAAGGTGGTATCCAAGGCTCTCCAGGATCAAGTTCGACTCTGAGATTCTAAGAATCATCAGAAAAGAATCACTATTGGTGCCACGGTTTCTCCAGGCCTGTGTCTGTCTCTCTTTCTCAGGGAAAGACACGGACGCATCACGGCAGAATGTGAACAAGCGGCCACTGAAAATGCCCTGCTGAAGGAACCGGCATCTCATCAAAGAGACCACACAGAACACACAAACAAAGGCAGAGGAGAGGGATCTTTCAGTTATTTTGCCTGGTTTGACTGAGATAACAGGGTGGGGGAAGCATTGTAACTGATTCTCACGGTTGTTGTGAAGATTACATGAACTATCTAATGTTATAGGCATTAGGGGCTATATCAACATCATCAGAGTCATTATTTGACACAAAGCAACAAGCCTTTTCTTTAAAGGAAAGAAACTGTTTATTTCTCCTCCATCCTCTCAAACTAGATCTTGGTCACCAGTGACACTTTCGAGATAGCATCTTGGAGGGTCAGTGCTAGGCATTATGCAGCATTTAATGGCAAAGATACCCATGCTTTCTATTTCTGCTATCTAGGAATGGAGGCTGCACAGTCAGTGCAGAGAACCACGCCTAAGATAAAAGGTCCAGACAAAAGGTAATTCTCTGGGGCGTGGGCAAGGCCAGCTCTTCACTTGGCAGAGTGCTTCTGATAAATCTCCAGGAACTCCATGACGTCGTCAGGAGACCCCAAGATGACCGGCGCCCTCTGGTGGATCTCCGTGGGCACGATGTCCAGTAAGGCTTCTTTCCCAGTGGTGGCCATTCCCCCGGCCTTCTCCATGACAAAGGCCATGGGATTGCATTCATAGAGTAGTCTCAGCTGGAAAACAAGGCCCAAGAGCCGCCTCGTACCAGAAGGTATTGCACAGAGAGGGGGCTTTTCTACAGCAACAGAGGGCAAAGCTGGCAGGCGTTTCCCAGGTAACTGGTACTCCCTTTTTGCTTCCTGTGAGGTGGCAAAAGGTCCCTCGCACCACCGCCGGTGGCATCCGAGACAAAACAGTCAACTATTTGGTTAAATTCAACCATTCATCAAGCCAGAGCCAGCAATAGATGACTTGATGCGAATGTGAGACAGACCACCAGGCTTCGGGACGGAATGGCATTTTGGCTAAACCGATGAGTCCCTCCTCTTTACAGCATGGAAACTCAGCTTAAGGAGTGATTCTGTATGTTTTGGATGGAGGTCTGCCTATTCTAAAAGCACTGAAAAAAAGCCATGGTAGTGTCTGGCTGCAGACATCTGGAAAGCAGACTGGCTCCTCCAAACAGTGTAGTATTGTTTGCAAATCTGTATGTATTCCTTTTACAATTCTCTTAAGGCTCGGGGGTTGGAATTTAGTATATTAAACATCTTGGCATTTACTTTCAAATATTAACTTTTTATCGTATGCATTTTCATGCAGTCTGCCTATGGAGTGACAGCCTTTTGCAGGTGTTTCCTGACTCTGTTTCCATATAGGTATCATGGCCAGGTTTTTAAAAACGGAGAAAAAGGAGGAGCCTCAGTATTTGTGTTCAAGAACAATTTTCTGAGGCATTAGAGGAAAATGCTGTCATGCAAGCTAATTGCATAAGCTGGGATGCCTGACGTGACCACGGCAAGAGTGTTTTAAGTAGGTAAGCATGCTTTCAGTGAGCTGGGCTTCACGTGCCTTGAATAGAGACCTAAATATGTCCAAAATATATAGATTTCTAACTATCTTAAGTAGTTGTTGTTGTTCCTGTTCTTCTCTCACACTTTTTAAAAATGGCAATCTGTCCTTTTAAGGGAAAAATAAAGAGGAAACAGGACTTGGGACAGAAACACACTGTCATCCTGTGTAGAGGAATGCAGGGTGTCCCTTAGCCAGCATGGGGAAGCAGAGCCCACCCTGCGGCCTGCTGGAGATGCCATGGGCTTGGACCAGTGCAGTCAGTGGTAACAGCTCACTGGAAAGCTCCAGGTTTCCCCAGAGATTCTTTATTTCCCTAAAAGGTGTCACTTTCCAAGTAGCAAATGCAGGCTCATTAGTGATTCCTATTTTATGCCTTTTGAAAGCAATCAAAGAAGACTTCTATCTGAAATGCTTTGATTTGCTGCCTTGGAAATGAGACTGGGCTGTTTTATTTCACTTTGTGAATGGAATTTATTTGCCCAAGCCAGACCACATGCCCATTGGAAGCTCTAAGAACCTGAACCCCCCTCCTATTTTCTTTTGCCACAGCATTGGAAGGGCTCTCGAGAGACCATTTTAATGTTTAGTTGACATCACCTGGCTTTACCTTTAATCTAGAAAAGAATGTGCCCCAGACATCCTCAGCGACCTCCTAGAGAGCATAACAGCCACCATAACCTTTCTTTCTTCCTAAATCAAGTCACTAGGGCTGAAACTGAAATCTCCTGCTCTTCAACCACTCTCCGGGGACATGCTTACCTTTCCTTTGGGGCTCTTCTTGTTGGCGGGGTAGAGAAAGATTCCTCCATAAACCAGAGTGCGGTGAACATCAGCCACCATGGAGCCCACATACCGGGCGCCATAGGGGGCTGAATTGTCCTGCATGGTTAAGACCAGCAATGATTAGGATTGCAAAAAATACAGAAAGGGCATTTTCTTTGTGTCCCCTATGCTTACTTGATTCTGCATTCCTTCACTGAGCACTCTAAGGTATGATGTGTTTGGGGCTGTGCTAAGAAATGTGATGAGAATCCTTTTCCCAACAAGCAGGAAGGAAGTGGAATCATCCAGACAACTTCTGATTCATCTCACTACAGGTCAGCTTAGGCTGTGGGGCTGGGGCAGGCATTGCATAAATTGTACCATTTAGGAACCTCTTAAAGGTTTTTTGCCAAGCTGAGGAATTAGCCAGAGGCTGGGGTGGCGTATATTTTACAGGAGAGGACACTCCCCAAGCAAAGACTTAGCAATGTAGAGAGAAAATGAATCGGGGTAGTGGAGCTTGTGGGACTAAGTGTGTGTCTGGCAGGGGTTGGGGAATTCAGAGTAAGGTGAAAGGAGAGATGATTTGCTGGAGAGAGAGCCTGGGGCTAGCCCTAAAGCCTTCGGATGCTGTGCAAACAACCTTTGTGCTTCATCTTTGGAAAACAGCAGCTGTCAATGGTTTCTGAACAAAGTCAGACAGCCCCACAAAGAGTCAGCTCTGCAGTCATTTCTTCTCTTTGCGTTCACTAATTCTTAACCTCAGTAGACAGACACCAAGATGGTCAATCTTGAGATAGTAGGACAGGAGGGACAGACACCACATGGCAGGTGCCCGAGTAGCAGAACCATATTTTGTACCATCTGGGACCATGAACTCATTCATCTGGTTGACTTAGTGGTCTTGACTTTCTTCTGCCAAGAGACAGTGGCAGAGGTGGAAATGGACACTGATTTCAAAGTCTCAGAGCAAGAATTTCCCAGTGCCTGCGTGAGGACCTAATCATGGGCTCCATGCAGATCCAAATCCAGTCTACTTCCATCCCTGTCTCCCTTCACCTCCATCAGCAGATTTCCACACAATTCAAGAGTTCCAAATGAGGTTCCAGGCCCTAAATCCCAAGGGTCCCATTTCCTTTTAGGGGACACTCCTCCCCCCAGAGCTGCCTGTGGTCACAGATGCCTAGACATTGCCCAGCCCCGCCCCCGGCCCCTCGGCCCCTCACTTACTGGGGGGAACTTTTTCCTCTGGACATACTCAGTGACGGCAGGGTCAAAGTCCTTGGCATAGCCCTCGTTAAGGCTGTAGATGTTACCTTTCTTTTTGATCTTCACATCCCTGTCCACCAAAATGAATTCTCCGATGGCCTTTTGAGACAAGGAAGGAAAAGTAGGGAGACATGACAAGCTGTCTCCCCCAGGCCCAAGCAAGGCCAGCCACAGGCTGGGCTGGGCTGGAGGGCATGGCCTAGGGTCACACATCACTTCAGGACACTGGTGATACACCTGCCACTATCCAAGAATTGTGAATGGGGTCAAGGGAGGCAAGAGAGTGCTGCAGAAGTCATCAAGGTGACAAAGGAGACTTCTGACTTTGCTCGCAAATGATTTCAGTAAAACAAGAAAGAGACCACAGGGAAGTGGAGAGGGCATAAATATGTGAAACCACCACAAAACCTGAAGCAAATAAGAATTGTGTGTCCAAAGCAATATATAAAATTGGTATGCCTGTACACACACACACCAAATTGGTACAGACAGGTGCTCAAGACTGTCCTTGGCTTTACGTCTCTACCTTCATCATGTTTCCCTTCTTGAGTGTTTCTCTAGAACAAAGTAGGACCCTAAGTTTTGAGCCCCAGCATATTTAACTTCAGACACCTTTGCTCACTGGTGAGCAAAATTTTTCTCAGATTGGCTCCTCCCATGTAGGCCCAGGGCTAAGCTAATGTCTTCGGGGTTTAGATTCTCAAAGGAGACTCAAATTTAAGGGAAAGGTATGTCATAACTCCTATCACTCTCAATTTAAGAGTTTTAGGGGCACCAGTTGTGTTACTGATAAGAGGGTGACTGAGGCTTTGCCCATTTGGGGAGGGGCTTGCTCCATTGATGCCAGAATTGGAAAGAAGAGAGGCCCGTCGACCTCTCTCCTCAGACATGTATTCCCACAGCAAAGGTTGGTTCCTGCTGCTGTGGAGTATGTTAAAACTATGAAGGGAGGGACAGACGAGGGACTAGATTTAACAGTGGCCATTAGAAAATATCAGTGTGAGCTCCTCTTTTATTCCTATATGCTGTTTTTGTGTATTTCAGAAAACCTTGACCACAAATATAATAATCAGTAAAACTAACGAAATAGCTAAGTGTCTTTACAGGAAAAAAAAAAGTCTAGAAAAGGAAGCCATTTCATAACAGGCGCTGGAAGCAGAGCTCAGGAAGCCATGCTTCCCCGACATCCACTCCTGGCCCCAGCCAGAGCACCCAAGGTACAAAGGAGGGACGTCTCCTGTGTGTGTAGACGAGGAGACGAGAGATGCAAAAGCTCCTTGAAAGTTAAAGTCTGCTAGAAATGCAAGTAGAGTTGTTGCAGTGCTTTTAGCAGAAACCAGTATAAATGGGGGACGCAAAAAACAAACAAACAAAAACAACTACTTTTTGGAAGGCAAGGCCCCTTGTAGTATAGGCTTCTGCTGCTACGTGTTCTAGGACCCCATGGGCATCAGTGTACCAGCTAGCATTGTTGTGACATACTGCATTATGGAAGAAACGCCCTGAGTTGTGGCAAACAGGTGACTGGTTTTTCCATCACGACAACACACCTGCCCACACGGCACGGAGCATTCAGCAGTTGTGAACCGAAAACGGCATGATCCCGGTGCCCCACCCTCCCTACTCACCCTATCTCTTCCTGAGCGACAGTTTTTGTTTCACCAGATGAAACAAGTCCTCAGAGGAAAATGTTTGCCCATGTGAAAGAGGTGAAAATGGCACTAAATGGCATCAAAACGGGTGAGTTCAAAAACGGTTTTGAGCAGCAGAAAAAGCACCTTGATAAGTGTATTGCATCAAATGGAGAGTACTTCAAAGGTGACTGAAGTTTAAACATGTAAGAATAAACACACCATTTTTTATAAATAAATTCCAGGTTTTTATGCCACCCCCATAGCAGGTCCTTGCAGCGGGCCAAAATTTCGAGAAAGCCCTTCACATATCCCTGGTGGAAGGCTGGTTCCCTCCAGCAACACCATACAGAAGGATTCTAGTCAAATCCCAGCAGAACTGCATGGTTCCTCCAAACATTTAGGTCTGCAGAGGGCAAAAGACTGTCAAATACACAGAAACTTACTCCTGGAGACAGTTGTCTGCAATCTGGAAACGAGAAGAGACTTAATTTTTTCTATGCTTCCATCAACTCAAAGGTAACAGAGGAGGCACCAGCATGAGAACTAAACCTGACCTTTAAAAAAAAAAAATCTTACCCAAATTCCAAACTAAAAGGCTTTGGGGGGGGGCACACCTGATAAGGACTCACCAGATAAGGTTTTATTGCTCTATTTCCCTATATATTAAAAAGTCTGTTTTCCAACCTGACTGGCATAACATCACCTAACAAAAAAGGAAATCAAATTATTGTGAGACCCTGCAAAGCTGTCTCTGGGAATCCCCAGACCTCGTAAGACACTTATCTCTCCTCTCTGAAGTCTGCCACATATAGGACTTCATCTACATATCAACAAACCTGGAGTTTTCCACCCCCTCATCTTAACAAAGCATCTCCTCTGCTGATTTCCAAAATTCCTTAACTAGGAACCACAAATTATCAGTCAAGACATCTTTGGGCTAGGGAGCAATGGTTTATGCCTGTAATCCCAACACTTTGAGAGGCGGAGGTGAGAGAAATGCCTGAACCCCATGGTTTGAGACTAGCCTGGGCAACTTGGCAAGACCTCCTCTCTACAAATACAAATAAAAATGGTTAGGCATGGTGGCGTGGTTCCAACTACTTGGGAGGCTGAGGTGGAAGGATCACCTGAGCCCAGCAGATCTTGGCTGTGGTGGCCGTGAGCATGCCACTGCACTCCAGCCTGAGTGACAGAGTGAAACTCTACCCAATTCCAAAAAAAAAGAAAGAAAAAGAAATCTTTGAATCCACCTATGACCTGCAAGCCTCTGCTTGGAAATGTCCCACCTTCCTGGGTCAAACCATGAAAATCTCACATGTATTGATTTATGATTTCTTGTAATACCTGCCTTCCTAAAATGTATATAACCAAGCCTCCATTCTACCAGAGTGGGTACCTATTCTCAGGACCTCCCGAGGATGGGTGCTCCTGGGCTTAAGTCCTAAATTTTGGCTCAAAAATAAGCTGTCTTGAAATATTTTACAGAGTTTAGCATCTTTTCATCAGTGAGCAGAATGTCTGGAGAAGCAGCAAACATCTGTCAAGGCCTAAATCAGCAAACATCAAACTGCACCCTGGGCTCAGATGGAACTTTGCTCTGGTTTTGCCGTTGTTTCTCCCTGAGGACACCTCATTGGAGAATTTAACTGGCACTATTCCCTATCCTTGTTTATTTGTTAAGTACCCATGCTTCCAAGGAGGTGAAAGTCCAGTTCTGTAAAAGTACGTGGGACAAAGGGAGCCTGTGTTGATTTATACTTTCATACACACAAACCCTGGACTCAAGCGACTTGCTTCTCTCAGAGGATTCCAGCTTGCTGATTGTACCTTGTGTTCAATTTGTCAGCAAAAAAGCCCTGTGTACATAAAGTGCTTCATTAATGTCCTATGAGAACATTTCCACAATTTAAAAAAGTTTATAAATCCAATTCATTTCCCCTTGAGAGCCTGGGCCACACACAATGAAGCTGTCAATGTATTGAAGATTATTAATTAGAGTCTAGGTTTCTTCCCCCAATTTACCTTCTCTGTTGCAACTGTCATCCAACTGAATCAATAAATAAGTCAAATTGAAGATTATTAATTAGTATTGAAGATTATTAATTAGAGTCTAGGTTTCTTCCCCCAATTTACCTTCTCTGTTGCAACTGTCATCCAACTGAATCAATAAATAAGTCAAATTAATGGACATGTGGAAGAAATCACCCACAAATTAAAACTGTTAGTGAACATTTTTCACCATACTGTGGGCTCCTCTCTATAAGGTAACTTTCCTTTGTAAGGAGGCTAAGAAGTCTTCATTTCATGTCTTCTTTTCATTTCCTTGAGTTCATCAAAGCGTTATCAAGACAGCAAGGGTTAACGGAAGGTTTATGTGCATGCACTCTACACCATATGAACTTGGAAGCTACTTTTGAAGAAACAGCGCCAACCACAGATTCAGCTGAGACACCCGTTCACCTCAGGAAAATAATCTCCAAGAAAATAAGGTAGAAAAGCTCGACATGGATGTAGTTGGGTGGCAAGCAGACCATCTACAGGCCCCATCTGGCCCATAAATGTGTTTTAGTTGGCTAGCACAGGGTTTTACATGTCAAGAAACACTACTTTTTTTTTTTTTAAATCCGGTGTTTCTTGAACCATTGGAAGCCGTGGCAAAGCTCGGCCCCTCTTCCCAATAGTAACAGCTGCTGGAACACTCCAGTTAGCCCCTGCCCCACCTTCGCCTTGGCCTGTCTTCCCCTTCCAGCACACTTCACTTATTTATTAGGCCTGCAGGGATTCGGCGGGCATTTGAGTCATTTGAAGAATGGTTGCTTTAAATCATTCATCTTGAAACAAAGACCTTCTTTTCTGCCCACCTCCCTGATTTTCCCAGGACGTATGCACTGCCTCTCCATCTCCTTCCTCCTTCTCGCCCCCAGCACGAACGTTTCCTGGCCCTCCCTGGACATCTTTTCCCATGGGGCTGACCCTCCCCTCACACACACATAACACACATTCCCTCACAGCCACCCACCAAGGACCCGGCCTCCTGCCCGACCTCTCACCGGGTCTAGCATGAAGCAGTTGACCCCACACTCCATGGCCAGGACCAGCATGGTGGCGCTGCCGTAGAGCGCATAGCCGGCTGCCACCAGGTTCCGGCCTGGCTGCAGGGCATCCTTCTCGGAAGGCTCATCCGTTGACTTCTAGACAAGAAAGAAAACAAAACGTGTCTCTGTGTTGTTCTGTCTTGTGGTTTTCTCCTCCAGCTCAACCACTAGCAGGCGAGACTGTCGAGGTGCTCTTCTAATGAAACAGGGCAGGGGGCCCTTCCCAGAGGGCCATCCTCCACACATCAGCACTCTCCTGATTGTATTGTCATGGCAGCCTTCCCACCAGCCCCCAAATTTCCTGCATTCGGATTCTTCTTTCCAATCAGGAACCTCCTCCAATTTTTCTAATTTGATATTCCCTCATCTCTCGATTATCACTTCCAAAAAAGAGCATGCCTTCTTTCCAGCTCCCTCTAATTTAATCTTATTAGGGGCATTGATGTCTTTCACCCGCCTACTCCAGCTTCACTTAGACAAATTAATGCTGGGATGCAGGGCAGTGAGTCTGGCGAGGAAGTCAATTTCACAAGCCCTTGCCAACGGCAGCACATGCCCCATGGAGCTGTGTGGTCCATACCACTCACACATCAAGGCCATTCTTGGAAACTCGGGGTATCTCCCCAGAGTCATTACAGGATAGAGCAGATGCTGTCCAATTTTTTCATCATGACCCACAGTAAAAAAAACCACATTTTACATCACAAACCACCAGTACCAATCCACATGCATACACACACACACACACACACACACACACACACACACACACACACACACACAGCAAAAATTTAACAAAATAATTTCTACAGTTAGAACCTGCCAGGCACTCTAATCTTTCTATTTTTTTCATTAAAAACACAGCCCATTGGATCATGTGGCCCACAATTTGTCTAATACTAGGGAAGGGAACCCCTTAAGGGCAGTGGCATGATCCCTTACTGATAATTTTTTAAATTAACATTTGAATGACTTCTTTGGTTCTCAAAACAGCCCCAAAGAAATCTTTCAGCTTCAATTTTCTGCTTGAATTGAATAGAAATTAAAAGGGGCCATTTTCCTCAATGTTATTTATTCCTTCCCCAGTCAGAGGTTCTAGCAGCTGAGAGTAACTAGGGTGATCTTCAACATGGAGCTGGGGAGGGAGGGCCTGCCAGCCAGCACACTCCAGGTGATTTCTTCCTATAATTTTCGAAAGAGTGACCACAGGCCATCTGCATTAGACTCATCTGGGATACCTACTAACATGCACATTCTAGGGCAGCAGCCGGGACTTACTAAGTCAAACTTTCTATGGTGCATCCCAGGAATCTGTGTTGTACCACGCACCACAGGTGATTCTTGCACTAACATTGACGCACTGCCAGGCGCAGTGGTTCATGCCTGTAATCCCAGCACTTTGGGAGGCGAAAGCAGGAGAATCACTTGGGCCCAAGAATTCGAGACCAGCCTAGGCAACATAGTAAGACCTGGTCTCTACAAACAAACAAAAAAATTATCCAGGCATGGTGACCCGCACCTGTACTTCCAGTTCCTTAGGCGACTGAGGCAGAAGGATCATTTGAACTCAGGAGTTTGAGAATGCGGTGAGTGGTGATCAAGTCACTGCACTCCAGCCTGGGTGACAGAGTGAGACCCCGACACACACACACACACACACACACACACACACACACACACACACACACACACAATCACTAAAACCATTTCTCCCCTTCTCCCCACATTCCTGTTCCTCATGGTTTTTATCTGGGTAGGTGGTCGCTTAACTGGTTGGGTTAAGTTATTTGCTTTAGTTTGGTTTGTATTCTCCACATGGTGCAGTGTAGCCAAACACAGACTAAACATAGAATCAAAATTTTGAGGGTTCCCCCCCATCCAAATTTTGCCAAGGCACAACCCTGAAAAAAGAAATTGACAAAACCAATGACCTCTGTCAATGTGGACCACCTGTTAGAGACTTGTTTTAACAATGACCAGCTTCCGCTGAAGCCAGTGACATCGTGGGAGAAATCTGGCCTCTAACTAGCCTCTCCTCCTACGACAGGTTTTGAGTAACCAGTTCTCCACCAAAGAAAGTCCCTCAGAGATTCGCCTCACCCGGAACCATCCATGCCTGCTCGTAGCAAAGGTGCCAAAGTAAACAGACAGTGGCATACTGTCACCAAATGCTTTACACTTCCACTTCCTTGCATGGAATAAGAAATAGTAACACTTGGCTAGGCACAGTGGCTCACGCCGGTAATCCCAGCACTTTGGGAGGCAGGGGCAGGAGGATTGCCTGAACCTAGGAGGTCTAGGCTACAGTGAGCCGTAATCATGTCACTGCACTTCAGCCTGGGCAACAGAGTGAAATCCCAACACATACACATACACATACACACAAATAGTAACACTTGTATATGATCCATATACTCGAAAGATAAAATAATATCATTGAGTTATGGATTTTGAGGAATTTTTTTCTAGCCTGGTCCCCTTTCTAAGGATGAATTTCCTCCTCCAGATTCTAAGTATGCATGCCTTTCTTCCTAGGGAATTGATTCCATTCTTTTGCAGGTGCCCGAGGATCAACAAGCATAAAGCACTTGACAAAATTAGAGTCTCCAGACCTTACCTTTCTCTACCTGTCTGAGACCACCACCTGGGTACTGATTTCTGTTTTATTCCATGCCACTCCATAAGGTGTATAGGGAAAGACTTAAGGTCTTGGAAGAGAAGGTCAAGCATAAGTGGGGGAAGGAAGGAGGGATGTCATGCTACCAGTGGTCTTCTTCCTAGGGGCAACTAAACTTTCCTTTTGAAATCCTGCTTTTAGTGGTGCAGACTGGATACTTTCAAAGGACACTGCAAATTAGAGTGTGACCATAGAGGCTGACCTAGCTAGAGAGAGTTCTAAAAATCATCTCATATGAAAGTTGTTTACCTTAAAGGAGAGAAAAAAAGGTGAGAAGAGGGTGGAGGGAGATTGGAAAGACAGGAGAGCTGTTTCCAAGCATGTAAAATAATCTTATTTTCTGATGCTCTAAAAGATTAAATGAAGGCTAGGTGCAGTGGCTCATGCTTGAAATCCCAGCACTTTGGGAGACGACGGTGGGAGGATTGCTTGAGCCCAGGAGTTCGAGGCTAGCCTAGGCAACACAGTGAGACCTAATCTCTACAAAAAGAAAACAAAAACAAAACAAACAAACAAAAAAAGCTGGGCATGGTCATGCAACACCTGAAGTCCCAGCTACACAGGAGACTTAGGTGGGAGGATAGCCTGAGCCCAGGAGGTTGAGGCTGCAGTGAGCTGTGATCGTGTCACTGCACTCCAGCCTGGGCAACAGAGAGAGATACCAACTCTAAATAAATAAATAGTCAAATGCACAATAATGAGACAGATTTCAACACAATATTTGGATGAACCATGATGGTTGGCCAGCGTCTTAGGATAATCTGCCCCTTCTGGAAGGCTCCAGCCAGAGACTGGGTGGGCCCTGGGGAGATGCCACAGCAGGAACCACATGGAACACTGGATCACATGCCCTCCAGGTGCCTTTCCAGCCCTTTTCCAGGCATCGTGTGGCACAGTCCCCATTACTGACGCTCCCCACTAAGCAGGTGCACCAAGGGGTTGAATTTTAGCTAAGAGTCATCTCTGCAGAAAGTAGAAAGGGTCTCCTTGGAAGCAACACACACATCAATGTTTATGCCCCACAAGCTCTCACACGGTTTCAAATAACCAATAAAGCTGTCAAAAACTGAAATGACTTAAGGGCTGCATCACACTCATCCTCTCTTTCCATATATATATATTTTTTTGAGTTGGAGTCTCACTCTGTTGCCCAGGCTGGAGTGCAGTGGCATGCTCCTGGCCACTGCAGCCTCGACCCGCTGGGCTCCGGCGATCCTTCCACCTCAGCCTTCCAAGTCGCCGGAATGACAGGTGCGCACTACCATGCCCAGCTAATTTCAGATTTACTGTAGAGATGAGGTCTTGCCAAGTTGCCCGAGCTGGTCGTGAACCTGCAGGCTCAGGCAATCCACTCACCTTGGCCTCCCAAAGCACTGGGATTACAGACTGAGCCTCCAAGCCCAGTCTTCTTTCCATCTTTAAGAGAGTCACTTTGGGTTCATTGAGAAGAATGTGTAGACTAATCATTGAGACTTATGCCTAGCATTCATAATTTAAGTCACTGTTGCAAGTTGGTTTGATTTTTTTTTTTTTTTTTAGTTGATAGCCAGTGTCTTTCAATTCTCTAGATTTTTAAGAGTTTTATTTGGGGGGTGGAGGTGGAGAATGGGGTTGGCTGCTTTAGGTTTGGTTAGTTATTAGCCAAAGGTTTCCTCCACAGGGAAGAATTTTGCTACAAACCTCTCTTGCTATTCTACAGACTTGATACTTTGCAGGGAAAATCATGTCCCTCCATGTCTGTAACAAGAATGGCATCTTTCTTGATGTGACTTGGAAAACAGACAAATTGTTGCCTTTGGCCTCTGGTATGAGAATTAGAACCTTCTATTAATCAAACTGACTTCTGTGTGGATCTGCCTGTCACCTAAGACAAAAGCAAACACACTCCAATGACTACAGATAACTGTGCCATGATGGTTCTGCTTTTCATATGTTTGAAAGGAAATTATTCATGATACTTAGAGATAAAGTAAAAATGTAGGTCTACTTTCTTTTTCTTTTTTTTTAATTATAAAGATGTGGGGTACAATTCAGTGTTAGGTATACAATCGTTGATTATGCAGGTAATCTTGGGTCTATTTTTTTAAGTTAATGCTTTTGTGTCCTGGAATGGAGTTCAGCTAAACTAACTGCTTCGTTTGTTAAGATGAAGAAACAGAGGCTCAGCTGCAACTCTGTGAGGTTTCAAATACACAAGAGCAGAAGCTAAGAGGACGTATTTTAGATTTTATAGTGTTTTATGATGCGTCCATGGGCCTTCATTCATTTTTCACCTGTCTGTATAATTGACTGAGTGCGCTCTCTCTCTCTCTCTCTCTCTCTCTCTCTCACACACATACACACACACACACACACACACACACACACACACACACACACAAAAAGAAAGAAGGAAAGATGCTCTGGAGGCAGGTTGGGTGCTCAGGTCACACAGTTAGAAGACCCAGGGCAGGGTCTGAGTTCCCATCCTGAACCAGTGTGCTTTCTGTGACTGGGAGTAGGGCTTAGCAAATTTTTTCTACAAACAGAGAGACAGACACTATTTTGGGATCTATGGGTCATACAGTCTCTATCATAACTGCCTGACAGTATAGCATAAAGTCAGCCAAAGGCTACGTCTAAACAAATAAGCATGACCACATGCCAAAAAAACTTCATTGTGAATAGTGAAAATTAAATTTATATAAATTTTGTGGATCATTAAATATAATTCTTTAGATTTTCCTCATCTATTTAAAAATGCAAAACATTTCTTTGTTCACAGCCTGTATACATCAGGCAACAAGCTGGATTTGGCCCAGGGTTTATAGTTTATAGACCCCTGATTCAGAGGACCTACAGGACAGTTTAGACACACATAACGTCTATTGTTGTCATACTGTGACAATTCCCAGTTCATATAGTATCATCACCACACAACTTATATTGTCTCCCTTTTTAAAATCTCATTTTCCACCATAAAAGAAAGTAAGATATAGTTAAAAGAATGTAATATACTTCACTTTCCACCCATGTTTTACTACCACATTCTTTTTTAATAATACAATGGATCTTCCTTGTGCAATTAATGCAGGAAACCTTCGAACTTGAGATACAAATCTATTCACACCTCGCAAGGTTTCATGGTGTACATTCTAGCTGCTTCACTACAGTGAAAAGGGACTGGATGCTCAACCTTAACTTTTCTTTTGATGCAAAACCACCTCTTGATATATGGTATTTTACCTTTCTGTAGATACCAAAAATGGTTCCAATGGACACAAGGCAGTCGATATTGGAAGACCCATCGAGGGGATCAAAGCAGACCACATATTTACCCTGAGCAAAGAAAAAGAAATGCAACTGTAAAATAGTGTAACAAGATACAGAGTAGACACTAAGGGAGCAAAAAAAAAAGGGAATCTGGAGGAAAGTTCAAGAAATGTGGGCCTTATTTATTTATGCTTGGTCATGGAAGATATGAAGCAGAATACAAAATGAAGATGATAGATAAAGATAGACAAAAAGATTATTAGATCACTAAGCAGAGAAAATACCACTTAGAATAGAAGGTGTGGATGAAGGTGATAAATTACAGATAAATAAATCATAATATCCTACTTTATTGATATAATCAGATCATAATTTTGGATTGAATTTCCTGGAGCCAAAGGAGAAATAAAAACAAGGTTAAGTCACTCATTTCCCCTTATTGATAAGGGAAAAAATAATAATTCCTTAAGTGAAGCAAAGACATTCCTAAAGATCTACACAAAACTTCTCATGCAGATCTTATAGATGCCACTTGAGTTAGGGATGCATAGAGTTCTCAACAATATCCCTAGTGTCGTTCCCAGAAGAGATAACTCTCTGTTGTCATGGGACTACCAAAGATTCATTTTTTGAATGGGATTTTCAATGGTGTGCTGGAGCTGGTAGTATCAGTACTCAAAAGCTAACTGTGCACATCTCTTCCCTACTGTGTTTTCAGTGGTGTCATGTTGGTAGCTTAACCATGGGACGGTATTTACACCACTGGAGGTGGTAGATGCTACACTTTTTGGTTAGTTTGCATTGAGATAGAGTTTATCAGTATACCACTGGGAATTTTCCATCTCCAAATTATCCACCTTATGATATAGTTTTTAAATGTGTTGCACCAGTTCAAAATGATTCCCTGGCCTCTTACTCTTAACAAATCACCCTCAGCCATGCAGAAGAAACTGGAAACTAGACAGGGGAATGTGTTATACATTGTAGTCAGAGGAGTTTGGGGTGTCTGGTAGAGAATATTAAACAAATTCAAACCATATGCCTAAAACTGCCAAAGACTTAGAAAGATTCAGTAAAGAAAAATGTGAACTTTGACATCTAGTGCTAGTTTAGGAATGATGTCAGTCAGATATGACTCCCACGCTTTTAATAAAGGTCAAGATAGACAACCTCTTTAACTTTTCTTCTGATTGTTGGTGGGTTTTTTTTCCCCCCGCTTTCTTTCTATTTCTACTCTTTCATGTCACCAGGCCATCTCAAATATGGAAAGATAGTAAGCCCATGTAACTGCCCTCCTAATCTCAAAAGTTTTTTTAAAATTAGAATGGTTGTTGTTTTATAAAAGCTGGATATATGTTTTCATTCAACAATATTTTTTTAACAACTATTTTTGGCTGAGACCCTAGAACATGCCTGGCTTCATGCTAAATGTTGAGTTACAGAGAAGAATAGAATTCATTCTCTGCCCTCAAGAAGCAATCAGACCAACAGGGATTCCAATGAATTCCAGTGCACCAAGAGGTGATAGAATTTCAAGCAGTGTGGGTTGGCAGCAGGTCGGGAGTAATGATTGGGAATTTGTTCAATGGAGATGCAACAAAAGAGGTTGTCAACAGAAGCCAGGCTTTGCAGAGCCTTGAACATGGCAATAAGAAGTGAGAAATGGACATGAGCCCATGGGAGTCCATGGGGAGATGATGATGGCATGAACCATGGTGGTGGTGTAGACAGTGGAGAGGGGAGGATTTGAGCCATGGTGGTAGCGGGGCGGAATCTGTGAAAAGATGATGGGGGGATCTAGGGAGATTCCCAGAAACCCATCCTGGTTAAGCAAGTGGAGCTCTGCATGAAGCTAGGAAGAAAAATGGTTGCGTTAAAACCCTCAGCGGTGAAAGTACAGACCCACCCTTTTTTCAGGTTCTACTATTATGGCGTGTTTATCTTCTTCTGACACAAGAACACAGGTGGCAAATGATGACTTTAACATGTTCATAACCAGGTCGTTGGAGAGGACATCCAGCTTCTTAACTTGATCACCCGTCACGTTGGTAGAACCAGCAATGCCATAGCTATAGGGAAGAGAAGCCACAAAAAGTGAACTGTGACCACCAGAGTATGTAGGTGCACCTATAAGTCCCACTGAAAGGGAATGCTGAGTAGGATTTAGAAGGAAAAAAGACACATGGTTTGGGAGAAACGAGAGGAAATGTGGTCATACCTCCTAGAGAGGCTTCTAGAAAGGAGAAAATACTGTCATCTACTTGCTGGCTTCATACCCATAATGGTACCGCACATTAAGGTTTAATCAGTGTTTCTCAATCTTTTTTTCCTTACGATCTTCCCTAAAGAACCTTTTTAAGCATTTTTTTAACTGACCATACTCTCCCACAAAATTTTGATTTTAATACTATAGATGTAGTATATATATTTATTACTGTATGAATATCTGTACTGAATGCATTAAAAGTTTGGGATTTTTTGTTTTTGTTTTTGCTCACCAAGAACTAATATTCACCCCCAAACACATGGGTTAAATAAATCAATTGAATTAAGAGACATAGCAAGCAAGGAGGTCTGGTCTGGAATGAGCTTGAGATGTGCGTTAAAGGATCCTAAAGGAAAAGCAGCATCGATTGGTTCCACCACCTCATTTTATAGAGGAGGAAGCGCAGGTTCCAAGACTCCTGTGGGCTTCTCCAAACTACAGAGGCAGGGTAGAGGTAAGACACTCGCTCTGACTTCCGGGTCAGGGTTCTCTTGGTGACTCTCCAGGGCCCATGGCAGGAGGCTTAGAGGGTGAAAGGCGCACGGAGTTTTTACTTATTTTTAAGCTACTGTGAGCCAGTAACTGCAGCATCCCCAGAATCCAAGTGGCGTGTCCAAAATGCAGCCCAGTTTGCTGGACTGAGAGAAGAGGCTGGTTGCCATCACCAGGGGTTGCACATGAACACAGAAGGGGTGGGGGACGTTTTACAGGAAGCATGCCTGGAACAAGATAAGACACTGGATGTGGAAAGGGAAAGAGATAGAGCTTTGAAGACACCACCGAGCAGCTGAAAGAGTGATAACTGTACAACTGCACCCTTGGCCAAGACAGCTGTGAGCTCGCCTGGGAACTGATTGCCACTTCTTCAGCGACTGTGACTGTGACTGCTTCAATGCCTCAAAATGCATTTTCCTGAAATGTAACTTGCAGTGTCTGGCTGGGCAGCACGGAGCCACCCCAGAAACGGTCCTGTCCCAAATGCCTGGTGTGACCTAACTGTCTCAGGAGGTGAGTCCAGCGGACTCATCAGGTCTACTTGTCGGTGCTGGCCACTTCCGGCGCCATTCCCTTTCCAGCCTGAGAAACACCTCTGGTTGTACCAGCCCTCCTCCCACCTACCACCCTTCCCCTGTCACTGCTATTTCATGAGTGAAAGACCAAGAGACCTATCGGGTTGCAGCCAGAGCCCGTGTCTCTGGGCTTTGGGCTCTCTTTCCACATAATCTCTTGCTGACCTCAATGGTGAGGCCAATGCTGGTGGAAGAAGAAGGCCACCAAACTGAGGGGACCTGGGTACATGGCAAGGCCACCAACCCAGTAAAAGTCATTTCCCTCACTGGTCCCATAAGCGGCAAGGTTCTTTCCCTCCTAGCCCAAGATGTCCACCATGAAACTCACTAATGATTCAGCACAAGGACCTGGGCTTTAGGACAGAGACGTGGTTCAGATCTCAGCTCCATGAAGTCCCTGTCTTCTCTGAGCCTCCCTCCCTTTTGCATGTGTCCAGAGAGGGAAATGATGTCTGCCTCCTGGGCCAGATAGAGGAGTGCATAGTCCTCGGTGCCTGATAAGTGTAGCCCAATGGGGACAATTCTGGGGCGGCCTAGGGAGCAGGGCTGGGTGGGAGGGGGGGCTAATGAATAAGCCACTTAGGCAAGTACAGGAAGGAAAGGCCTATGTCTCCCACTGGCCCGAGTTCCACCTGCTCGGGTACCTTCCTCAGGGACACTTAGGCTGGTTCCTTTTACTCAAAAGCTTCCGAGAGGCCTGAGAGCTCCTTTATTCCACAGATATTTATGGGGACCCAAAGTGCATGGGGAACTGCTCTGCGTGTGGGGGTTCCGTGCTGAACAAGAAGACCCCACCTCCTCTCCTGAAGCTTCCATTCTGGTGTGGTGAGACAAACAAGATGCAAGAAACAAATATGTGTTGTGGAATGAATAAGGTGATGTCAGATAGTGACAGAAGCTCACTGTTATAAAATAAAAACAAGGAGATGGCAGGAGGTAGGAACTGCAGGGCAGGTGGTTCATTTAAATGGTCAAGGGAGGTCTAGCTGTGAAGGGGGTATTCAAGCTGAATGGCATTTCGAATGTTTTTCAAAAGAAAGGGAGGAAATGAAAAAGGCCTCAAGGAGCCCAAATAAATCAGCTAGTAAGGACTCCAAAGAAGAGTTCCACGTCAGTAATTTATCCAAAGAAAACATGAAGTTCATTTTTTGCATATTTCCAAGTGGAAGGGGGAGAATACCGTGTGCGCATTTATGCAAGCAACTTCTAAAAACTCAAGGTCTTTTTCTCATGATACCCAGGTCCAGGAGCATTAAAATTTGGGGAAAAGGGACCTAGAGGAAAAAAAAATCTGTGCATGGCTCATCTGACAAAAGGCCAGCTCTGATTTGCAGTTTTCCTGATCCCACTAGCTTAAGAGAGACAAGTTTACCCTGCAACTTGTATCAAACACGGGGTCGCCACAACTTGTTTAGTGAGATTAAATGCAAGTAGGCGAGTTCCAGATGTGCTGGGCTACGTACCCTGAACTTGCAGTTGGCCAGACTGAAGCGAGAAGCAGCTTCTGTTGCCCTAGATCATGCCCTGGCCTATGAGATTTTACAGTTGGTGTCAGGGTAGGCAACTTGCCCAAGCAAGACCATAAGCCAGGTTTCCTCACAGCTGCTCCAAGATTCCAAGATGGCGCCCACCCTTGAGTCACAGAGAGACTCAGCGAAGTCAAGGTCAGCAAAGAGTGGCACACCCTGCCCCAGATGGAAGTCATGTGGGGTCATATAACATGCTGAAGGGATGGACAACATAGGACAGCTGTCCCCAACCTTCAACTTCTTTGGTATCAGGGTCCAGTTTCATGGAAGATAATTTTTCCATGAATGGGGCGGGGGGGTTTGGTGCAGTCAAGCCTCACCGCTAGTGTGAATCTGTATTTGCAGCCACTCCCCAGTGCTAGCATCACTGCCTCAGCTCCACCTCAGATCATCAGGCATTAGATTCTCATAAGGAGAATGCAACCTAGATCCCTCACATGTGCAGTTCACCTTAGGGTTCACGCTCCTATGAGAATCTAATGTTGCACTGATGTGACAGGAGCCAGTGCTCAGGCAGTAATGCGAGCGATGGGGAACAGCTGTAAATACAAGAAGCTTCACTCCTGTCCACTGCTCACCCCCAACCGTGCAGCCCGGTTCCAAACTGGCCATGGTCTAGTACTGGTCTGTGACCCAGGGGCTGGGGACCCCAATGTAGGGGACCCTTACCATACCTTGCACTGACGTGACCATCTTCATCCACCAAACTGTGGCAGACAATTGGCTCCACTGCCTTTGGCGTTTCCATGACACCACTGGGTGGTGTTAAGCTGGTCCTTGACCCTTTCTTCAGAACTCCTCTTTATCCCCCTGTTCTAACAGAAAGGACCCTTTCCAACTGTCCTCCAGTTGGTTATGAAGCATAAAAGGACATGCGATGATAGATTATTCTGGGACCCTCAAACTCAGAACTCATGTACTCTATAACTTTCCTAGGATAGCTTGCTGGAGGTTTTTCCCTGGTGAGTACGGGCATTAAGACACATTTCAGAAAGACAAGAAAATTATTCTAAAGTAGAAACTAAGTTCAAAAGAATAGATTCTCAGGCTAGCACCAATAGTGCCGCCATGCTGGTAGTAATGACGTCCCGGTTTGTATAATTTAATGATTGAGCCGCAGCTCAGTACATGAAGTTAGCCTTGGGTTTCTCTCTCTGCACTGCGTTATTCTGGTCAGGGATGCGAAGGCACGATGACCAGTCAGGCCAAGGCAAATGCTCAATCAAGCTTCTCCCGACACACCTCAGGGGGACCCTAAGAAGAGCTTCAAGATATCTCCGAGGTAACACATTTCCATGGGTCAATGAAAAGCAGGATGCGGGCTTCTGTGAGGCTGACAAAGGAAAACAGCCCTTAGAAATACCCTGAGGAACTAATTAGCTGAAGAGTCCTTGGAGTTTATTTTCTCTAGCAGTTTGCAGAAACCCCCTCCGAAACAATAAATGTCTGCCTGCTGACAAGTTACCATTTCTCAAAGGTCCCAAAGGATAGATTAACAGGAGCCGTCCACTCTGCATTCCCATGACCACCCAGAGAGAGCAGGGTGACCTGCACAGCCAATAGCAGATGGGTCTTAGCTCCTCGCAGGACAGCCCCAGACCTTTGCTCAGTCAATTGACCAGGGCTCAGAGAGCATCTACTATGTTCCCCAAACTGAAGTCCTAGGAAGACTCCAAGAGAGTCTGCAGGGCCCAGAAGCCTCACCCTGGTTTAGACAGCATTTTGATGGCACCAACAACCCTTGATGAGACTTGAGCAAACAAGTCTCACACACCCCTGGGCTTCCTTTTAGATCAGTTCCCGATTCCACTCTCTGGGGCCGGATAAGGCAGCCAATGAGGCCACAGGGATATGAAAAAGTATACAGGTTTTCCCGTGAACAACCTTGCCCCAAAAAGCCTTTCCCGTGAACAACCTTGCCCCAGAAAGCCTACCCCGGAGCCAACTCTGCCTTGCAATCGATAGAAAGAGAGGCAAGCTGAGACGGCGAAGAAATGGGTTGACCTGAGCAAGTCGTAAACCTCTGAACCTACCCCCCACGCCCCCTACCCCCAGCAAAGGAGTCAGTAGCAGGTGGGGGGTAGGCAAGGTCATTTCGACTGAGCCAGTCATTTAATCTGCCAGGAAATGTTTCCCAACTGGGAGTTATCTCAGAAGGCAAAGGCTACATTGTGAGGTTTCCTCCACCTTTTCCTTTTGGGACC